GGTGAGCTATAGGGCGAAATAGGAGGTAAAGGGAAGGAGAGATGTGTCAGTTCTCTGTCAAACTTGGTCATAAGCACCCACAGTGAGGTGTGTGTTTGTTTGTGTGTGTGTTTTTGGCACATGCCCACGGTGAGGGTAACAGCAACGGTATGTCCAAACAGATACACTTATCCAGATGTCTTAATCATGTGAGAAGTAGTTGTGATAATAGGCAGTAGGGAGACCACTGTGGAAGAAACACTCATCAGATCCCACTGCATTCATTCATTCATTCATTCATTCATTCATTCATTCATTCATTCATTCATTCATTCATTCATTGTATGGTCATTAGGACATAGAACCTGTTGTTTATTTATTTGAATCCCACCACTGAGTGTTAGTGCTTTCAGTTAAAAACCAACCAACCAAATACTCCCCACACTGAGTTACCATGGACACTGTCATCAGCTTTTTGCCATCTAGTCTGTTTTAGGCTGGTGTGTGTGTGGTTGCTCTTTTCAAGACTGGAAGTGATTTCCAGATATTTCTCCTTTTAGGAAGAAAAGGCCTAATCCCAGTTTGTGACAGGTCACTAGGCGCTAAAAGCCTAGCAAGGTTACTTTCTGATCCCCAGAAGTTTATAAACACATCTGAGCTGAACAAAATATAGCTTGAATGGGGATAAAGCCTTTTCATCTCAATACATAACATTAATCTACTTGCAGAAAACAGCAAAGACTTCAAATTGCTATTGATAAAAGTTAAAGAAAAAAGTGCAAAAGCATGATTACAGTTGAACATTAAGAATACAAAAATCATAGATGTAGGAGAATTAAACAATTTTAATGTTGATAATGAAGTTAAAATTATTGTTAAAGATTTTCTGAACCTCAGATAAGTCATCACTTCAAATGCAACCAAGAAATCAGAAGAACAAGATCCTCAAGAGCATTTGTAAAGTAACTAGAAATGATCCTCCAGATTAAGAATGTTGCTGAAAACCAAGGTCAAGACCACCCATGCTGTGGTATTCCCAATTACAGTACTTTGTATGGAAGGATAAACTAGGCAGTGATGAAAGCTGATGTGGGGAAAAATTAACTGATCTGAAATGTGATATTAGAATACAGTTTTACATATACCATGGGCCATCAGAAAGACAAATATGTGGGTTCTAAATCAAAATGCCTGTACTGTTGTTTAAAGATAAAATTACTAGAATGAGGCTATTGTACTTTGAATAACTCAAGAGAAGACAAAATTTAGAGGGAGAATAAAAAAGACAAAAATGTCATGGCACCTTAAGGACTAACGCTATATTTTAATATGAGCTTTCATGGACAAGTCCACTTCAGAAAACTACAACAGTGCTTGTTGATCTTGCCCATATCACATTATCCTGCCCTCATTCCCCTAAAATTTTCCTCTGGCAAAAATGCTGCTTCTGAAAGGCTCTTAAAATTAACCCTATGAAATATGTCAAAGGATCCTGTACAGCATTTGACACCTGTAACAATTTTTCAAAATAGACTTCAAGCCACTTCAATTTGGTTGTCCACTCCTTCCCTCCATTTTGGCAATCCATGTTGCCAGAGGGGGATCCTGGAGGCTCCAGATCCTTCAAAGGTGCCAACCCTGGCTTAGACAAAGACTTTTCACAGAAGAATTTTAAAAAGAAAAAAAAGGTTTTAAAGGAGATAATTACTACTAATCCTTCACTACTGATTCTTTTCTACTCTGGAGAAGCAGAGTAGGGATGATCCAGTGGTTCTTGGCGTGCATAACATTTGAGGATTAGAAGGAAAGTTGTAAGTAGAGGAACAGGACTCCTTTTGTCAGGAAAGTCTGGAATACAAGGATAGTTATAGGCTCACTGGGGAATTGTAATGGTGGTGGTAGTGGTTATTTATTATTTATAACATATATACTCTGTCTTTTCATTAAAAGGCAGCACTCAAGGTGGCTTGGAAACTATTGACAAATCATATGAAACAAGCGCTTAATGAAAAATATGTGTCTTTAATCAAACTTTAATCAAGCTGCTTAGAGTGGTCGCAAAGACCAGATAGGCGGGGTATAAATTAAATTAAATTAAATTAAATTACATTAGACAGACAGACAGACAGACAGATAAAAATCTGAGGTTGTATTTTCCTAATTTTCAGACCTGCTAAGGACCTGTCCTGATACATAAAACAAATAAACAAATAAACAAGCTAGCTAGCTAGCTAGCTAGCTAGCTAGCTAGCTAGCTAGCTAGCTAGCTAGCTAGCTTTAAATTGCTTCTGGAAGGAGACAACTGAAAATTCAGTCTTCTCATGGGATGGTATTCAAAAGTTTGATTAGTGTAGAAGAAGAGAAAGCATTTACTAGTCTCTGGAAGCCCTATGGCTATTAGTACTATTAGTGAGGAATTTGGCCTTACTACTCTTTTAAGTGTTACCCTAGCAACATCTTGACTTCAGATCTGGATTTTGTACAATGACTAGACAGAAGATTTGGGACAACCATGAGAAGAAAGATACAGACTGAACTTGTTGACTTCTAGCCCCATTAGTTAGTAGGCAGGACTCTTGCCAGGTAGAACTGTGTGGGATTTCTGGAACATGTGCATATCTTTAATGTCACCCAGTTCCTAATCTGTTCAAGCCATTCAAGGCGCACGTCCTGATTTGACTATTACACAGCTCTGGCAAGAAAGAACCCTATGCATGATGCTTATTTCTGTAATATAAATGCAAGAAATCTCTGCCCTAAGTGTGCACACAGCCCCATGTGGTGCTCTATCCACAACCTGGAACCTCCACCTGTAGGAAAAACACAGCTTCATCAAAACAAAGGTATCCTTCTTATTGAGCAAGCGTAACAAACCTCTATTCCATAACCAACTCTCTAAGAGAACCATACAACTAGAACTTGGTGTTTGTACAGTTATGAGAGGATCAACCTCAAGGAAACACAAGCTGCTCTGTACTTCTTAATTAAAGGTCATAATTAATTTGTTCTTCCTGTCTATCTGCATATAGATGTTGACACCTGGTAATGTCACTCTGCATACTGTGTGGGGGTCCATCCCTGTTGAGCTTGATTTGCCCTGTGCACCTATGCTTCTCTAGTTATATTCAGCAACAAAGAAAAATGTTTTGAACCAGGACACCCATGAAGTGAACCACAAAATGGCACTTCATATTTGTCCTCTGGCAACAGTTGTTATTAGTAAGCAAATTGCCTTCTAGGGGCAATTGTCTGCTATGATTCTCATTGAAGAACCCTGTTCCATTTCAGATAATCTCCAGCACACAGTTTGAAAAACAGGATTACAAATAATATGAGATTATTCTCCACTTAATTTTTCACACTCATAAACTAACATAATGCGTCTTTTTGTTTCAGGACTCTGAATCCCTTGATAACTATATACAAAATACACTTGCCTCTTTGTATCCACCTTTTGAAGCAACAGCAGCTACTGTTCTATGGCAGCTTTTCAGCATTGTTGAAAAATACTATCATGGAGATGGTCTCAGATGCCTAATTGACTTCCTTGTTCCTGCCAAGAGAATCTTGCAAAGTATCCAGCAGGAAACCTGTGTAAGTATGTTTGACAAAACTAGCTGTGTTTGTTTCTGATTTCAGGTAGGGGTAAAAATAAGAAGGGGTTTGATCTGCTAAGCCCTAGGTTTTGTAAATTAAGCTATGAATTTTGAACAGGCACTGAAAAATAAAGAGGGAAAAATACAGCTTTCTTGCATTTCATTAGAAATAGAGGCCAAAATCCTCTTGTACAGTTATGGCAACTTAACTCAAACAGCACAAGTTGGGGAGGCCAATTGCCTGAAATTAAGGAATCACCAAAGGCATTCTCTGTTGTGTTCTGGATCAGTATCTCCTTCTGTGAGATTCAGCACAAGCCCATCACATGCGCATAAGGATTTTGGCCTTATTTAGTTAGTAAAAAATGTCTATTGGATGTTCATTTTGACAATTAGAGTTTGGTTTTGGTTATCATAACTAAGTACAAGGACCAATTTACCGTACAGTGAAGGTAACTGTCATTTGGTAGATGGATTGATTAGTGAAATTAAAAAGCTTTGGTAACCCCTGTGAATGCATAAGGGGTGATGATTGTAAGATCTTGTTGAATTTGGACTGAAAAGCAGAGTTCAGTATGAGTGGTGAGATGATTCCAAAGGAGTTGTCCCTTTGGGCAATGCATTAGGAAAGGGCAAGGGACAAGTCTCAAAATGCATTAGTATTGGTAGCAGTACAGTAGGACTCCCATATTCACAGGATCCGTACTGTATTTGCTGATTCACTTAACCACAGTTTGATACAGTAGGACTCCCATGTTCACAGGATCAGTATTTGCTGATTCACTTAACCACAGTTTGAAAATATTAAAAGTATTAAAAGAATTGTAAAAAAATATATTGGTTCAGGTCAAATGTTGCTATGTGGTATAGAACAAGTAAAAACTTCAGAGAAGACGGGACAGTTAGGTAGGTGGTGGCTCTTCATTCCATTTGTCCTTTTGGCATGATAATACATCAGAGTGTAGACTCCTTGATTTGAAATCAAGGTATTCTTAATTCTTCATACATACATACATACATACATACATACATACATACATACATACATACATACATACATACATACATACATACATACATACATACAATTTAAGGATGAATACTGTGAAATTTTGTCTAAGCTTGAATAGAAAGATGATCATAGTCTTTGTAAACTTCAGTATCTCCCTAAATTATGTTTATCAAAATGACATGAAAGATGTATTATTATCACTACTGCTGCTACCACCACCACTCCTCCTTCTCCTCCTCTTTATTTTCAAACCTGGCACCCCCTGGATTTGCAATTCTGGAATTACAATGTCAATTATCTGGACCTTTCTTCGTTCTGCACCACCACCACCACCACTACTACTACGACGACGATGACGATGACCTTTCTTACTACTACTACTACTACTACTACTACTACATCATGGTGGTGGTGGTGGAGGAGATGATGATGATGATAATGGTAGAACAAAGAAAGGTCCAGATCATTGACACGCAATTCCAGGGGGTGCCCGATTTGAAAATAAAGAATTGAAAAAACTAACCAAGTACAGAGACCTAGTAATTAAAACATATTGCCTCTGGAAGAAACGCACTTCGGTGGTTCCTGTAGTCATTGGGGGCTTGGGAACAATAGCAAGAAATTTCACACACTACTATAAGCCCGGAGTCCCCAACCACTGGTCTGTGGCCTGCTACCGGGCCATGGCCTTGGCAGGACTGGGCAGAGTCCCCAACCTGCTGTGGCCTGCTACCGGGCCGTGGCCTTGGCAGGACTGGGCCGCAGAGAAAAATCTCCACTTCCCACACATACGCCCTCCTGCACACACACACGCTCCCCTACAGGTACCCTTTCCTACACACATGCATGCACAGGGGCCCCTGTGCACCTTGCCCACCCATACATGCATGCACTGGTGACCAACCCATGCATGCCCCTGCCCACCCATGCATGCACGTGTGTGCCCCACCCACATGCTTTCTACAACCAACTTTAGCCCATATATTACCAGATCTTTTCTGAGCTTTCTTCCAGTGTCACAACAATTGCTTTCTCACTCATTTCAGTGCTTCTTGGAAACTGGTGATCTCATTAGGTCCTGCTTAGTGGGTGAGCATGCTCAGAACCAACCGTGTAAGCAGTTTCTCTGTTCTAGAGTTAGACTGGGAATTTTAGAAAATTGCCTCAAGGTGTGAGATGAAATCCCAAAGAACAGCCAGGAGATTATTCATATCTGCCACATTTCTGGTCTGGATAGATTCAGCGACTCAGTTTTTAACTCTTGTAAAGGCTGCAAGCCACAGTATACAGGCGTAGCTCAATTTACAAAATTGATGCGTCCTCTGGGAAGTTACTGTTACATACAGCACTGATGCTGATGCGTCCTCTGGGATGTTACATCATGTGGAGATTTCATAAACCGATATGCAGATTGCTCTAGGAACCGGGGCGGCACTAAAAACTTCAAGCCACAATGTGTCCTGGTGAAACCATTTTGTACAGCGGGAGGGGGGGGGAGAAAAAGAATGTAAACCGGGGCTTTATTTTCTATAGATTTTTGGTTCATAAATGGAAAATTACATTAAGTGAGACTTTCGTAAAGTGATGTACCGCTGTATCTAAATCCCATAGGGTAACAATCTGATAATGACAACAAAATTATGAAAAGTTCCTCCATCTTCACATCACTATCTGTTGCAGAGTTTTGAACTGTAGGTAAAATTCTCTTACACTACACATTAGAAGTACTGTACAGAGATCCATAGACGAGAATACAGGCATACCTGCGGTTAAAAAAATCAACAAGAAAATATTTCAGTTCCAGAAGGTACAGAAATATTCAAAATGTTGTAAAGCAAATGCTCATTCAACAAATATTTGAGGCAAGAACAATTCCAGAACAATCCTACAAAAAAAAAAATTAAAAAGCTAGCTTCCTAAGCTGATACATTCTGGCAGTACTTCAGCATAGTTTCAGAGCATATGAGGAATGGAAATTTGGCAGCAGGGAAGTAGATGAGCATAGTATTCACCTGAGAGTTAACTAAGATAAAATAAGTAACTTCTCTAATAATCTTAGAACTGAAGAGTTGGAAGGGACCTTATAGGTAACTGAGTCGAACCCCTATTAAAAAAAAACCCCAACATACCATTTTCTAGATCCTTTGAGGAGATCCACCAATCAGGTGTCAAATTGCCCTGAACCTTCTCAAAAAGTGTCGTCTTCACTTTAGCTGAAACCATTCTTGCTAACAAGCTTTGTACCAAAGACTGAGGTCTAATCTCAGTGCTTGCATTCCCACAGTAAGAAGACAAAGGTGCCAAATTAAGAGTGGGCATTGTATTATTATTATTATTGTTGTTGTTGTTGTTGTTGTTGTTGTTGTTGTTGTTGTTGTTGTTGTTGTTACCCCACTTATCTGGTCATTACGACCACTCTCCTCCCCATTTTTAGTTTACTAGTCTGAGGCACAAGCTACAAGACTTGTGTTTTGTTAAAAAAAATTATGATAACGCAAAACCATAATTCTCTATTTAACAGTTTCTTGATTGCTGGTTCAGGAGACAGTGATAGAGACTGGATAATTCCCATTGAATTTATCCAGTTGAGCCACAAAAAATAAATGAGTGCAAGCAACTGAGGCTTTTAAGAAACTAGTAGAATATGGTTCTATATACTTCCACTTCTGCTGAGTGCAGATTGTAATTCTTGAAACCAGATAATGTTTCTGCAGTCTTACACTCCTGCAGGACCACAGGACAGAAGCTGCAGAGGGAACCATCCTCAGACACAGTCTGTAAGAGATCTGTGAATGATATAGAAAAAGGATGTCAATGGCTTTTCCTGAGGTGGGCAATATATAACTCATCCACTACTTAGTTTAGGGGCAATGGTGGATATGGGGAGTATAGGATTAGACATAGGGATGAATATAAAAATGAATCAGGATATTTGTTGAATATCCCTGATTTGTCAGATATTCATTGCTTCGTATTCTTGGGGTCCAGAGACTGTCTTAAAAAAAAAAATGACCCGACAAACTGACAAATTGATTTGTTGTTCATCAGGTCACCAGGGGGTAATTTGTGGTTCGTGTGTTGTCAAGTTTGATGACCCACGAACCAAGACGTCCCCATTTCTATATGGGATATTATATGAATATAATGAATTTCATTCTGAGTTTGAAATTTGGAAGACTCATCCCTGTAATTGTGCATGTCTGTAGTTGTAGCAGAGGCACTTCAAACAGATCCAGGGCTAACACAATGTCAAATAAAAGGGGCAGGGAGGCCACCCAAATTTTGTTAAAGGAGCTTTATACACATCTGGTGAATAATGGGATCTGCTTAAACATTCAGTCCTCAACAGATCCCAACTTTATTTTATTATCACTGAAAAAGAAGAGACAATTCTGTAATTCATGAAGGTCACTTATAGATGACACAAGGAACAAAAACTGAAAGCAGCTGCAAGATCAAGTATCTAATCTATGTTATACTGGACAAAATGATTTCCTTATTCATCACTAATAAATAGGGCATGTGATCTATAAATTACACCAGTTAATAATAAACATATGATGTCAAGTCAGTTATAACTTATGGTGACCTTTCTTAGAGTTTTCCAGTTAAACACTGTTAAAGTATTTGTTTATTTTGTTTAGTTAATCTATAAACCAAAGTATTAGGTATGACATATAGTGGAATGGGTGTAAAGCTGTGTGCAGCCATGTCCTTAAAAAATAAAAATCTTGTTGCATTACCCCTCTGGTTTTTGAATTTCTGTTTATATTGCTAAAGCATATATTTCTTGTCACAATGGCTAGAAATTTGTGTTTTTTTAAAATGCAAGCTGAGATACTTTAGAAACTGAATTCTGTGCTTAGAACTGTATGCTTTGCTTTCTGTTTATTTAATGGGATTGCAGTATACTTATATCCTTAAACTTGATGTTTAATACCATTAATTACTTGAAACTGATGAAACTATAAAACATCTAATTTCAA